TAGTAAATAATGTTGACAATTTTTATTTTACATACCTTATTCGTTTGTTTTGTTTAAAGTTTCCTTATTTAAAGTGACTCACTTTCACATTTCTAATTTCTTTTTATCACATTTGCTACGTGGTTGATATTGACGTGGATATTTTAATACGCCATTATACTATACCTTGGCTATTGAATAATTAAATTATTTCAATTTAATTATATCACATATTTTTCTTTGATAACTTAAACTAATTGCTATACAATTAGCAACTTAATTGTGTAATTGTATTAATTCAGATAGTTAATGTACTTTATATTAAAAAAAACATTTTGAACCTGATATGATATAATTATGCAGTCTCAAAAATATATGACGTTCAACAACCATGTGTTGTTATAGGGATCTGAATCATGGTTTGTTACGACCGCGATCTTACAAAAATTGCAGACATATGTTAACAGATGCCTTCGTCAGATCCTAAACATTTTGTGGCCGAGAACCATATGTAATAAGCGGCTATGGAAAATTACAAATCAACAGATAATGAAGCGGAAATATGGCTGGCTGGGGCATACCCTGGGTAAACCGGTTAATGAAATTGCAGACTCAGCATTAAAATGGAATCCACAAGGTAGAAAGAATCGTGGACGGCCAAAAAGTACATGGAGAAGATCAATAAACAGGGAAACTAACAAATCATTCAGCGAGCTTTGGGTATTAGCGCGTAATAGGGGTGCCTGGAAAGCATATGTGAATATGCTTTCCAGGCACTAAATATTTGAATTGTCATAATAATAATAATAATAAAATCTAGAATAATTAACTAATTATCTTTATAGGTTTTTTGACAGAGGTGTTGGCAACAATGGTTGGGACGGTTTATTAATGACAATTTTCGATTCTATAAGCATTTGATAATAATAGTTAGTTTTTGGTAATAAGAAATATTAAATAAAAAATATTAAATACAAAAATAAAAAGTAATATGAGGTAATAAATAAATTTAGCAAATTGTCTGCTTTAGTAAGTAGCAATCTTCTAAAAATTAAAATAAATGAAACGAAAAAATTATTCATTAAGAAAATAAAATTATTTCAATTTCAAAAATAAATTTATTTGATGGCTTAAAAGATTTCTTCCACTTACATATAAATATTACCAAATAAATAAATACGAAAGTTAAGTAAATAAAATTATTAAATTTTTCATAACATGCCAAATTCTACCATCTACGTTTTGTGTGCTAAATTGTCTTTAAAACATGTTTATATGTTTTTTTGTGTAAATATGTAGATACACAAATATACATATAAATTACGTTCATAAATTTTGAAGTTGTGTTTTGAAATTATTTTATATAAGCTGCCATTTCATGTAATTGCATACAAACATCCTCAAATGCTTATTGCTATTCCCAACCAAACCTAAAAGTATGCAAGAAATTTTGCAAGAGTGTAGCTGCATAAGAAGCATGCACTGCTTCCTGCATTTGAACAAAATTCAAACGTTTTCAGAAGAAATAATGTTTATTAAAATTATATTTTGTTTTACATATGAAGAGTAATACAATTATAATTGTATACAAAATATCTGTATATAAGTAAATATATATGGTATGTACACTTTATTCGATGCAGAAAGTTTTTGAAGTCATTAAGTGAAGTGCAAACACATTCAATATAAGAGCAAAAACATTGAAAACAGCAAAAACATTGTTGCAAAATTAAATAAAACTCCACTACTGCGACCACTTCTTACCCTTTTGTGTAGAATAGAAACTTTTAACAATTCCTTTGACTCGACCAAATGATTCTATCTGGATCCATTTGCATTGTTGTTTTACATTATCGTGTCGTGAGTTTGGGTTCATAGAAGAATATTTTTTGTGTTTTAAAGTTTGGAAAAGTTGTTAATTTCAAATCGAGCACTTAAATTAATAGTTTTTGAAACAAAAAATTAAAAAATTTAATTTCAAATTTAGAATATAAATTTCAAGTATTAATTGTTGAAAATGAAAGTGAAACAGTGAAATTATTCACAACATAAAAAAACCAACTTAAAGAAAAAATAGCTCATCAATCAGTGGCCATCGAAACCGCAAAAGATTGTATAAAAACCACACACATGGAAATTATAATCATCAAATAATACTCGTATATGTCAAAATATTATATTTCTACTATAAAGCATTGGTTGGATGGTTGCAGTGGCAGGCCATTAGATAACTACCATGTACCTCAATTAGCGATTCTTCGCCGTTTTGCTACCACATTCCTCGCAAGAACCGCTAATATAGAATAGTAAAGACTAAATCCATCCCGCCGAATTTAGATAATTTAATAGGTCTTTCGTCTTCACCGATGAACAGTCTGATAAACTATCAAAGAAGTTTCTTCCTAAGAGCCTAGAACTTCTGGACATCAACGCCGGGCATTCACAGAGAAAATGTATTATTGTTTCTTTCTTCTGCGAGTTTTCACAATTTCTACAGTGAGGGTTATGGGGTATGCGCAGTTTCTCTGCATGGGTTCCTATACACAAATGACCAGAAAGAACTGCAGTTAGTCTTACAATGTTCACGCGGTCTCTTTTGATGAGTTTCAAGGATATTTTTATTATAGGTGGGCCATGTTAAACTAGAAGTTGCACATGACTTAAGTGCTTTCTATCTATTATTGGCAAGTAGCAGCAAGTAGAGGAAGGTACTTCTCCTAATGATCTCTGGGGTAATATAAACCGGTATCGGTAAACCGGTATGCAGAAATATAACGAGACTCTACAGAATAATTTTAACTTTATGAATATATCTTGACTAGTACAATATATATATTGTAATACAACAACTTTATTAATGATTCCATCTCTAAATAGGCTGGTATAATAGATTTAAAAATAGAACAATATGACCTATGACGGGCTATTGCAAAATGGATATTAAAAAGGTCCGTAACTAGCCAAAAAGTAGTCCTCTGAAAGTTTTGTATGTCCTATATGAAATCAAAACTATATTGTTGATGGATGCGTAATTGTGGGTATATTATTTTTAATCTATTGGTATTTATGGACTTATAACAATGATTGTGAGATGACTATTCCGCCGCTCTTGCATCTTTAGCAAATTTGATGTAAGGCTTTGATATATCGTTTTTTTTTAAATATTAAATAAGAGTAAACGAAAATAAATGAATTTACTTGTTTTGCTAAGCTATTTCCTTACGATCCATCCAAAAATATATAGCGCGTAATCTTTTGTAAAGAATTCAAGTTTTAAATCAATTGTTTAATCTAATTAAACACAAACACTCAGTACACTATATTAGATGAGATTAGATTTTGAAAGGATTGGGAACTTGTCACCATGTCACTTCATCCTTTGCGGTTTTTCGTGACAAATCCACTTTAGTTCCATAGGCGAGTAGCAGTTAAATTTTCCATTATGTCCTTTGGAGAGATGTTGCCTAATGCCCTTATAATTGGATAGTATGTCTGGCGAAACTATCACAGTGAAACAGAATGATTTCTGCTGTTTGTTCTTCTTTGTGACAAAGTCTACAGCTATTGTCTCTTGTAATTCCTAGTATCGATAGATGCTTTTTTACTCCGCAATGTCCAGTGAAAAGCCGGATGCCTTTTCTGTTCAGCATAAATAGCTCCCTAGTACTGGATTTTGTTCGATTCGGCATTAATTCATTAGCTTGTCTGTAGGCATTTACATTATCCCAAGCAGTCTAAGTTGCTCTTTCCAGCCATTTATTAATTTTAAGTTTGCAAAAGCTCCATGAAGGATCGCATATTGGTTGTAATCCAATATAATATGAGACCGCCTCTTTTCTGGCTAGTTCATCGGCTTTCTCATTTCCCAAAGTCGGTCCAAAATCAAGGTTATACTGACTGTTTTTTTCGATATGCGTGGTATGGTGCACTATAAATTCCTTCCGGACGGTCAAACGCTCAATAAAGAGTATTATTTGGCCGTTATGCGTCGTTTGCGTGAGGCCATTCGCAATAAGAAGCCAGATTTATGGAAGAAAAACTCATGGATTTTACACCACGATAACACACCGGCTCACACAGCGTTGGTTGTGTCGCAGTTTTAGTCTAAAAACTCCACCAATATCATCAACCAAGCACCGTACTCCAAATATATCCCTGTATGACTTTTTCCTCTTCTCCCGACTCAAATTGCCATTGCGAGGATCGCGTTTTGAGACCATAGAGGCCGTAAAAGTGAATTCGCTGCGTGAACTAAAGGCCATACCTTCGGCGGCCTATAAAACTTGTATGAAAAATTGGATCAAGCGTTGGCATGCAATTATTGCCGCAGGAGGAGAGAACTTTGAAGGCGATAATAAAGAAAATTATTAAAAATTAAAATTTTGCGTGTTTTTTTAACTTCTCGTTCTGTTTTGACCAAATAAAATGTTTATCTCTGTGATGTCAGTGCCATAAAATCAACTTATTTATGGTTTATTATTATTCGTGTTATTTTTAAACTGACAGGAGACTTATATGAAAAAATGGACAAAATATTATTATTCTTAAATTGTATTTATATGTTATTCAATTATACATGAGAATATCCATCTTATATAATTTTATTTTAGCCAAATTAAAAACAAATAGCCCTTATGTGATCACTCTTTGAACTCCCTTGATCACTGTAGAAGTATTCATTTAGTAAACCTCAATAATTAATTAATTATTTATTGATATACCAATGGCTCCAATATGTGTGTCTCTTATGGATTAAAGCGCGCTATCATTATATTTAATTATTATTTATTTATAGGTTTTGTATCAACGTACTAATATTCTCCATTGATTAAAATATATCATTTTGGAGTTTAAAATCTAGTTTTTTACAAATATTTTAAACATCTTCAAACGAGTCTATCAAACTGTGTTAGTCACTAACTAGTATTGAATAAAATTTATCTGCAATATTTTTAAGCTAATCAAATTAAAATATCTCGTCACTATATAAAACGATACTACACTTTGAGAGCCGTAGTTGAAAGTTGTCTGCTCCACACCTTAGTACTTGTATTTTATATATACACAATAAAATATGTTTAAATATGTAAGTTTGAGAAGAAATTTAAAAATATCTTTAACGTTGCAATTTATAGATGATAAACAATTTTAAATTAATTTTTAAAAAAAGTTTTTATTTTTAACGCTTTTAGTTGTCGTTCTTGCCAACGAAGATGATTTGCATGCTGAAGTGAAATCGGCCTATAATTCAATCGATGGAAATGGAAACTACAAGTATGGACATGATATTTCCAATGGTGTTGAGATCAAAGCAGAGGGAAATGTCAATGGAGTTCATGGAGAATACTATCTGTTGGGCGAAAATGGTGAAAAAATCAAAGTTACTTATACAGCTGATTCTACTGGCTTTCATCCCGTTGTAGGTGCTAAATAAATTTTTTTAAATAATTTTTTTTAAATAAATTTTTTTATTTAATTTTTTAATTTTAAAACAAAGCAATAAACAAAATTGATTTTTATATTTGTTTTTTTTTTTCTTTTGTATTTATTGTTTTTAAAATATATTAGCACATTTATTAATAAGCTAACAAATTCTTTAGAAAAACAGTTTTAATAGGCCCGGTTTTTGATATACACAAAGTAAATTTATATGAAACAAGAAAAAAAATAATATTTGGCTTTGTCGGAATTTAAATACCCTGCACACAAAATTTTTCAGAATTTAATAATGAATGGTTATCGGATTATATTAGAAAATTGATTTATATTTTTATATAAAAGATATAATATACAAGATTTGATCGATAACAGTTTTAAAAATTATTGCTTTGATTTATAAAAAATTAAAATATAAAAAACGTCAATAAAACATTATTCAGACCTATTAGATTATATCGCTTCCATGCAATTTTCGAACCGAAACCGATATTTTCATTAGAAAACCGAAACTGAAGCAAAAAAGGTATTGCGATTTATTTTGGATTAGTTAAAAGTTAAAAACTATTTGCATATATTAACTAAATTACTATGATCTTATAAAAGAATGAATAAAATGATTTTAATAATGACAAAAAAAACTTATTTTATCACACTTAATCAGTTACAAGTCACTTCGTGACAATATAATCTATGAAAAGTACACTGCAAAAAGTTCACCAAAAATATTTTCTAGTATATCCATCGTTAGCACAAACCAGGCTATCCCACTACGCAGAATTCATGATATAGGTAAAGTCACTCTGAATTGAAAAGAAACGCAAAAAAATATATTTTATGGCCCTAAACAAAAATCGAAATCGAACCGATATATTTTTTTTTAATTTTAAGGAACTCAATGTGGAACTCCAAAATTTCTGGTTTTATTAAACCCTATTTCGATGTACATACTAATTTGAAGCTATGAATTCCATTTTTAATAAGATGAAAAGTATAATTTTGTAAATTATAAAATGAAGAGAATTCATTAATGAGAAGTTGTTTAGTGAAAATCTAAACCGATATAAGTGAAATTCAAAATTAATTGAGTTCAGGAAACAGTCTTCTCTTGTTCATCCGACTTTGATATGAAATAACTTTGAAACAATGAAATCAGATGTAGTCAAAATGATTTTTGCCCAAGTCAACCAATTATATAAAAAATGGTCGTTGCAAGTGTGATTAAGATTCAAAAAAGTGGCATATTATGAGTTATAACATCGATAAGGAACTGAAAATCAACCGCAATACAATTTTTAACCATTTCCATAAATCTAATAATGAATAAAAATCAGAATATACTTAATTTTGCCCGAATATAATAATAATAATATTTAGAGTCCACTCTAAAATCACTTTTGTCGCAGTTGTGGTTCTGAATATTAGAAGAAAATCTATGCTCCATCTCATGTGTCAGTACCAATCTCTAGCTGGGATAAAATCTATAAACTTCAGGACCTCTTTTCTTAGTGACCTGACCGAACTATCATCTTGCAAAATTGAAGACTTAACCAAATTCATAGAACCTGTAGGTTGGCTCATCTTTACCTAATAGGAATCGTTGCTTTTTGCCGTTGGTCGTTTACTGACCTTTTAGTCTATGTACGAACCTGTGATACCACAACGGGGCATTATTTGCGCTCAAGTGGGTTTTCTTGGACACACAGCCGTCACTCCAACCTATTCATGGTAGTTATAGAATATATGGTGTCGGTTTACAAGAATTAAAAAAAAAAGTTTAATTCGTTTACCTCAAGAAAACTTGAAATTAATTCATGGGCTGATTTGGAATATATATTCATAATAAAGTCTCTGATGTCTCCATTAAATATTTACAAACATTGTAGCAAACTTAATATATTATTTTTACACAATGCTTATAAATAATATTATATAAATATAAACTTGTTAGGTCCATTCAAAATAAATGGTACACAATGTAATAGAGTTGTTGAACATATTTATACAATATGATTGGTCTGCAGTATAGTATCTATATCATATATGCTTTTATATGGATACTAAGATAAGCTTTTAAGATAGTATTTGTATATATACTAATTATTTAGGATTATGAAGTTATTTTTGTACTTATACTTTAATGGCATTTTAGAACCATTGTTAGATATTAACATGAGAGAAATGAAAACAATTTAGTTATTTTGATACAAACCGTTTTTATAGTTAAAATGTTTTAAATTAAATAGATTTAGTGCTTGTAGTTATCATATTTATGCTGTATTTAAATACCAATTTATTTTTTGTTTAAATTCTAAATTCATTTCAACCTTTCTGTAGATTAAACACCATGGGTATATCTGTATCTTTATACGCAGACAATCAATATATTATGGTCCCGGTAAGTCTTAAAGAAAATTCTAGTGAATTATTTTGATGCGTTACAGCCACTTGCAAGCCAACACTAAATGATGATTGTTCAGTACCTGGTCATGTTGGAATAGACTTAACAAAATAGAAAATAGTATTAATATTAAATGCAATACAAAGGGAATGAAATGGGCTTAGAAAGGAAAATGTCTACAAGTTGAACGTCAACAAAGCACCTTTACCTTTTATAAAAGATAAAAGGATAGTTTCAGTCAGGTTTTGTCCTCCATATTGGATATATAGACAAAAGTCTATGATATTACATATATCATAGACTTCCTAGACAAAATAATAGGGATCTAATATTCTATTTCGTCGTGGCTTCAAGCATTTTTCCGAACTTATTTATTTAATAAGCGCGTATTAGCATTTCTTTTATATAAATCAATAAATCTGTTACTATATATGAATTAAACAATATATATAAATTAATTGACTAAGCAGGGTAACTGCATTACTCTATTGACAAGACTTCACCTTAACCAGTTTCTTGAGCTTCATGAAGGATTCGAAATAAATTTATGTGCTGTGCTATATGGCAACAGAATGAACCAGCGAGCTTAAATAAATTGCCAATTTCATCATAATAAGTTAACCACAATAAAACAATAAATATAGAGTCTGTGAATAGAAGGAGATGAGAATATGTATATTTAAAAAATATATACGAGAAAAATACTATTTATTCTAATAAAACAAATTTTTCAATTTTATTAAAATGTATTTTTTAAAATCTATTGTACTCATAGGCATCTTTAAAAATTGTTAACTTATATGGCAGCTTCAAAGTAACTCTAATTAAGTTTCACGGTCATGCGAATATAGAAAGGATCGAGCAAGTTAATATGCTAGCGAGACTCGATGACTTCTCAATGGATCCTCTAATATCAATTGCTGTCCTGTCAGTCACAGACGAAGATTAATATGTGATAATATGTGATTTTTGCAACTTACAAATAGCAATTAGTCTAATCTGACATCAAATGACGTATCCTATATACTTCAAGCCTGCAACCTCTGGATAAGTCTGCACTAATAAGATAGAAGTGATAAAATAACATCAGTTCTCACAGTATACTGCCGTACCAATTAGAGACACCAGAACTACTATTGTGTCACTCTCCAGATATACTCAGGAATTGAGTTAAACATGAACCATTAAGCTAAAGTATAGTCAGCTTTAAAACGCTTTGTGGGTTGTCAATGCCCAATTGTCAAAATTACACGAATTTTGGAGTCAATACAGCGTTCGAGCTAATTGAGAACGATGCGACCTCCGTTCACTTTACCTATCTTAGCACTGTACGTAATACAGTTGTAAAACTGGGTAAAACCTAAATAATTTTAATTTTTTAATAATTCCGCGCAATTCTTAGAACAATAAGCGGCGTATTCATTCAAATTCTTGTAGAATAAAATATATATACTAATATATATATCAAATTTTATAATTGCTTTAAATGATAAATAATTTGACAATAACAAAAAGATCAATTCATAAAAACAAGTAAAAATTATTATATATAAAATATATTATTATTGTTATTATTTACTTAATAATAACAATTTTTTGGAAGACTGGTTTTAAATATTATATACACAATCTTACACAGATGAATTTTAGCAGATACAACTAACGCCTGCACTCTGAATGCTATAAAAACGATATCGCAATTGAATGGGATCAGTTGAAGACAAAAGTTAGGATAAACAAGTCAATAATTAACAACCAACAACAAAATGTTCAAATATGTAAATTTAAATAAATATTTAAAAGTAAAATAATTATTTAACAAATGTCTTAAAATTTAGTTACTGGTACTTGCTTTAATTGGTGCTGTCTTTGCCGACGATGACGCTCATGCACATGCAAAGGAATACAAAAAGGACGATGGTCACGGACATTTTGAATATGGTTATGATATAACAAACGGTATTGGTGCAGATGAATCTGGTGATGAGCATCAAGTGCATGGCGAATTCCATTTTGTCTCAAAGGACGGTGTACCAGTAAAAGTATCTTATACGGCTGATGAGAATGGTTTCCATCCAGAAGGCGATATATTGCCAACACCACCACCAACACCAGAAGCTATCTTGAAAGCATTAAAATATATTGAAGCACATCCCTCAAAAGATGACGGTCATGTGAAGCATCATTAGGTACTGTCCTATTGGAAATTTGACAACGCTTAAAACACTGTATATTATATGTAATATAATTAATTTTGAATATAATTCCCTGATAACTAAAAACTACATACAATGTCTTTTTGATTTGTATATTTAGAAGTCTTTTCTATTTCAGCGAAATAAAAATAATAAAAGCCTTATTGTAGCACTCGGAAAGTTGAAAATTAGTACCATTTTTCATATATGATCATCATTCCTAACTATTACAATCCGGTGAAGAAACGCATTGAAAATAAAATAAGACCTTATTCTTATACTTTAAAAGGTTTAAGGTAAATACCATATCTCGTATATGATCACCATTCTTAGGTTTTGAGATTCAGTACGTATCAGCGTTTCTCTAATGTTTATACTTTACGGGGTCTACGATGTTTCCTTTAATGCGTTACAAAAATCTTAATAGATCTAATATTTTAGATTTTTTTATCTAAAATATAGTAAAATCTCTGTTGTAAATTTTAATACCCACAACCCAACAAACAATAAGTTTAACAGCGATATAACGATTAATAATGTATTAATCGTATCAGAGATTAGGTAAGACGGCAGTCGAATTATTTTTTCGGAATGATAGCAAAATGTAAACGTACCTTAAATATATGCAACGGCAGAATTGGAAAAAATTCGAGATTGAGATTATCTTTGAGTTGAGTAGGAAAGAAGAAATAAATGGAACCAGCATATGTGGAGAATGGAAAACCACTCCTTGAACAAAAGAAAAACATCTAAAAAACAATATCTACCTAAAATGAAAACTAATTAATGATAGAATATACAAATATTAGATATCGTATAAATACATTTATACAATTTAATGTAATTGTTATGATAATAGAATAAAAACCCTTAAAAATGATTTTAAAGTATAACCATCCGATCTTTACATAATAGACCGATATCTATACTCTGTATAATATATATTTTTCTTCCTCTTCTTTATTTGGGATTGTATCCTTTTATTGTAATAATTCAAGTACAATGATATTACCGCTTAGATGTTATAAATAATGACGTGTGTACTAACTAAAAATTACATTACATATTTTTATTTTCTACTCTAATAAATATCGGTCAAAAAAACGACCTCATCTGATTACTGGAATGAAGCATTTTCCTCAGTGCTGTGGAAATCTTTTCCATTAATTCCTAAGAGGTGGTGAACTTAGTGACTTGAACCCACTAAGTTCAAATCTCACATTGTGGCTTTCGATGCTTTCCACCTACTGAAAAAAAAAAATAATGGCTATATATTTATTGTCATCTATATCAAGATAAAAACTAGTTATATTAATATTTTTTAATTTTTCCTCTTCTTTATTTCGTATTTACAACAATTATAATTATTATTATAATGTACATTCATATTAATATATATATTTACACTATTTTAAAATTATATATTATATTATAATAGATGTCGTTGTCTAAAATGAAATTTAGAACGTTCGTTATTTATATTTAATTACATCAAACATCCTTCTTAACCATGCAATACCATTAATCTACAGTTTTAGTTTTTCTAATAAACTACATCGTTTTCAACGGACGGTTCTCTGGTAGTTTCATCAAAGACTGTTTTAAAAGTTTTTACTGTGAGTATATGGTACGTTTTATAATTCATTATATTTTTTTATAAAATAGATACCTTGGATTAACACAATGTGGTTCATCAAATTAAATGTAAAGGTGACGTATCCAACATATGAAACCAAGTACATGTTGGTACAACAAGATACAAGTTAAAGACGCGTATGGCGGGACATAAACACAGCGTAAAATATAAAAATAATCTTAAGTCAAAAACGGCACTGGCAACACACTGTATTATACCAAAGCATGAGCAAGACCTTGATAACGTAAAGGTTTTACACCAAGGAAATAATCAACAAAAACGCTTTTACTTGGAAATGCTATACATCCTCCAAATTCTTAGTGACACCAGACGAACTACATATATAACTGACATACAACACTGTGCTCAGGTGTATAAAAACACCTTCAACAAATCCGTAAGAGGATAAATATACCTCTCCATATATCCATATATATAAAATAACATATATAGTTATTTTTATATCTATTATCATAGTATTCTATAATTGTTTTCTATGACCATATACTTATGTATATAATTCATATTTCGATGTTAATGTATTTTGTAATTCTTTCTTTGTGATATGTACTAAAATATTGTTACATTGTATTAAAATTGTATACTACCCTGATGATGACTATAGATTGTAGTCGAAATATCGGTTAAAAAAATCTTTTAAAAACAAATAAAAATTCTTCAAAATGTTTATTATTTAACTATTGACCAATTAGCCCGTAAAAAAGAAAATTATTATTAAAAATTTTTTGGTCATTAAAACAATAAATTATTATAATTCTAACATAAGAAATAATATACACAATAATACATATAAAATAATAAATAATACATATATTAACATACGAGATATATTATATATTAACGATCATTTCTACTCTCATCGATCAGTTCATATGTTGAACTTATTTTTAAAAATGTTTTTAAACTTTAAAAGCTTTTCGTGAAAATGCAGCGCTGTGCTTTTGTTAGATTAACTGGAATCGGTGTGGGGTAGGTGGTAAAATAATTATAATTAGTGAACTGTTTTGTTTGTGTCAGCTTATAAATACAAACGGTCTCGCAATACGTATTAAATTAAATTATATAATTGAAAAATGGCCAACCGCTTACGTTTTCTAAATCCCAAGAAAACTCTATTTCTACTATGTGATATTCAGGAGAAATTTAGACCCGGTATGCCGCTTTTCGACAATATGGTAAAAAATGCAAATAAATTGGTGAGTGACCTTTGTCTGATAACTTATTATACATTTGTTTTTATCAAATCTATAAGTAGCTATAAGATTACAATTTTCCATATATCAATATATTTTATTTATTTTGTATATTAGACACGAGCTGGAAAAGAATTAGAAGTGCCATTGATTGTTACTGAACACTATCCGGAAAAGCTGGGAAAAATTGTGCCCGACTTAGATGTAAGCCATGCTAATGCCATAATTAGTAAGACGCGTTTTAGCATGATTGTACCGGAGTTGCAGTCAAAAGTGAAGGAAATTTTCGGTGGAAATCCTAATGACGTTGTACTTTATGGTTTGGAGGTAAATACGAATCACTTAAAAGTCACACTCATATAACTGATATTTGTTATTTTAGTCACATATATGCGTTGAACAAACTGCTATTGATTTACTACAACAAAACATTAATGTTTATGTTGTTGCTGATTGTTTGTGTTCTCGTTTAAACCAAGATCGTGATTTGGCCATCGAACGTCTTCGTCAAGCTGGTTGTGTTATTACTACTAGTGAAAGCCTTATTTTCAATTTGATGCAGGATAAAAACAATCCTAAATTCAATACTGTACGCAAATTCGTCAATAATCCTTCAGTCGATATGGAATTGAGTAAATCCAACGCTTCTAAATTGTAATAATATGCTGAATTGTATTCCCACAAAGCATTTATATATAACTGTTAAAAAATTTTATGTAAATTTGTTATATAGCAATAATAAATAATCAGAAATATATATTTTTTCAACTGAAACGTTTTGTTTCGAATAAAATATATCCAATATTACAAATTAAATTAAACAAAAATGTAAGTGTATTGCAATTAAAATATTAAATTCTTAAAAACTGAAACAAATTATTTAATAAATAAAATTAGCAATATAACCAATGTAAACCAAAGCTGTTTACATAAAAAATTTAATGATGACCTGTAATCATTCATAACTAAAAATTATGAATGATCGCCCCTTAATTATGTTATTGACTTCATTAAATGAATTATAATTATTTAATTCAGAGTCTTTTTTAAAAAAACAATTATAGTTTTATTGATGTCCCATCATTGCATTGAAGTCTGCCGGTGTTTTAAAATTATAATTTAATAATATAGCATTTTTATTATCTAATTTATACATTAAATGCCCCCAAGGATTGATTGAACGTCCAGATCCATTTGCTCGAGCCCTTTGAAATTGATGCTGTACGTTTCGGGTTGGTATTTGCGAAGTAAACATTGCAATATAGCTGAAATTAAATTTTAACAAAAATCTTTTAAAGGAAACTATTTAAAAACTGTATACCTGTCCTTATTCCTGTATATTCGAAGTGGATACTTTGTTGTCAACCATTGTAAAGCAAAGTTAAACGCAATAATACCAGCAAGGAAATACCAGTAATCGTCTTCATCTAACATTAGAGTCATATATTCTTTCTCATCCTTTCCAGATGATTTATCGTTTCCTAGATCATAACAAATGAATCCGAAAAGCGCTGTAAGAGTTAATGTGGACGCGGCTTTTATTACTATAATGTAGTATTCCATTGGTGCGCGATATATTATGGTATAACCCTCAGGAATTCTGTCCTTTATTTTATATAAGCGTTCCTTTTCAGGTGACACAAAACGCTTAAACCGCACATTTTGTAATAGTTGTTTGGAGGTACTGCAAAAAGTCACAAGCAATTTAATGAAATTACTTTTTAATAAAATTATTTCTTACCTGATTTGTCTCGTTATAAGCTGACTTGTTTTTAAATTTTGCTTTAAGCAAGTAAATAATCTTATTCTAAGTAGAGGCAGCATATTTTATTAAATGAAACATATGACAGTTGCTATTCACTGTCAGTGATGTTGAATGTGAAGAGTAAGTTATGGTTACTTTATTAAGCATGCTATTTTATTAATGAAAGCACTTATAATCTTTAATGTCTTTTGTTTCGAAAACATTATGCTATATATTTATTTCATTAATATGTTATTTTTATTACTTTTAACACAAGTGTCAACAAACATCAATAAGAATACTCCTAAGAATTGTTGATACTAAACCGATTACTATTTATAATTTATACTCAGTAATTGGTTTGCATAAGTACCCACAACATTACAACGCACAGCTGACTATTTGTTTATTTTTTTGTTTGTTTTGCTTATTGTGTGGGAGCTATTACATTGTTATAAAAATAAAATGGAAAGAAAAGGTAACAAATACATAAGTTTCATGTATATAAAAAAATAATAAATATATTTTTAGTAAAAGCAAAAAGTGTAATCCATGAAAAACGCAAGAGAGTGTCCATCTCACATAATGAATATCGAAAAAATTGGAGTCTTAAAGATGCTTTGAAAGCATTAGCCATAGAAGAAGAATTTGAAGCAAGAAATAATCAATTTACAACACTATTATTAAGATTTCCCGATCCTGAGTTGAGTTCTGATATTGTTAAACAGTATTCTACACATATTACACATGTACACTTTCAACTTCCTTCGGTGTCGAGGAGCTGCATAGTACGTTTAGAGAAAAACGCCAATATTAGAGATGTTATAGAGAATATATCAAAAATACCTTTTGGTAATGGATTTGTATCGGCAGAACTTAAATCTCCAAATGATACAAAGAAATCATGTCCTGAAGAAATCGATCCTTTTTCACTGTATGTGGGAAACTTACCTAACACTTTACAAGTAAACACATTAAAAAATATTGTCAGCAATGCACAACGCATTGACTTGGGATATGCTCAACGTTTTAAATGTACTCGATATGCATTTGTACGCTTTGATTGTGTAGATGCTGCTATAGAAGCATATATGAAGCTTTATAATACCACAATGGAATCTCGTTCTTTAATAGTACGTTTTCGTAGAACGAAAAGTACAATATCATCTTCAGATCCACGTGACCCTCCAGCGAATAAAGTACCAAAATTAGTAAATGATGTAGCAGATAAAAATAAAAGTATTTCACAAAAAGTTACGCTTTCCAATGGAGAGAACACAATAGTTCACGATTCAAAAATCAATGTATTGGAGGATTCGGCTACTTTAAGAAGTAATATGTTAATCAATTCTAATACCGTAACAGTAATTCATAACGAAAAATCGTTAACAGATAGTCAGCAAAATACAGGTTGGTAACAATTATTCCCCCAATTTTAGTTTCTTTAAATATTCTCTAATTTAGCTGTTGCACAAAGTACTTCAAATGTTGCCATCAAAGAGGAACAATGCTCTGATGAGGATAGCCTAAGCTGGTTCAATTTAATGAATGAAAATAACTTAGAAACGTTAAGCACTGAACGTACAACAACAGAACACGAACCTTTCGAATATATGGGTAAGATTCGTAATATACTACAAATGGATAAAATTAAATACTTGATTTCTTGAAAATTAGAATTCTATAATGATGACAATTGGTCCACCAATATGAGAAAATCAACTATTGAACAAAAGCCAGATGTTACTAACATAAATTTGAATGTAGTTCAACAATTTTCTGACAAGAAGATATCGGATACTCATGATGACTTACTGCAAGAGGTTATTAAAGAACGGCAAGCAACAAAAAAAATGCAACGAATAAAAAATGAACGTGATGAGTTAGATGATATATTTGAACAAATGAACTCAGACCTTGAAGACTAATAACGTTTTAAGTTAGCACAGCTGAGAAATATTTTTTGCATACTCGTTTTCGTTTAGCCAACTTGCATTAACTCTTTCTGTAATCTTGGGTTAATGTAAAACTAATGGCATTCACAATCTAGAGTAAAAAACTTGGTAACCAATTAGCATAGTAATAGTAGAAAGTTGCAACAAGAAACCACATTTTGTTTTACAATTTTATTAAGTTACTCGATTATAAAGTTACTCGGTTCGTAACTCGAGTTCACGAATGCTCTATTTTTCCAATGTGGCTCGTTTTTATTTGTTTTGTTTTGGTTTAAATGCAGAAAAGGGTAAATATTAAAGTAATGACCCTTATACCATTATAATACTCTAATAATATTAAGAATGTAATAATTAATAATTATTAAACAGAGTTTATGTGTTCATTTTTTATGTTAATGTACTCAATATTACGTTGAGAAATTTTATTCAATATTCAGAGTTTTTTTAATTTAAAAATTTTTTATTTCAACATGATTTTTATTATATTAAATATTTTAAAATAGTTGTTCAATTTTCAAATATTAATTGCACTTTATTATATTATATAAATATTTCAATATATATATGTATGTATATATATATGTATGTATATATATATATGTATGTATATATATATGTATGTATATATATATATATGTATGTATATATATATGTATGTATATGTACTTAAACAATTTTAATAGTTAGACCTTATCAAAATATTTAACTGTATTAATAAATTCTAAAATAATATATATATGTCGTTATTTGAGTTTTTATTCTTCAGTTATGGAAATCAGTAAGTATGGATCAAAAATGGTCCAATGGTCAATGGACAGCCTAGGATAAATCTGAACTGAATTTAAATTAAACTCTGAAAAAATTTTTTTCTGCGTGGTAAAATATATATATTCTATTTTGGTTGTTTAAATAATTAGACCTATAAATTGTCTACACTGAAATTCGACGGGATGGATCAAGTCTTTACTCTTCTATACTAGGGCTCTTACAAGGAATGTTGTAGCAAAACGGCAAACAACCGCTAATTGAATGGAAGTTATCTAATGGACTGCCACTGTAACTAACTAACTTAATGCCACGTTGGATGTAACATATATAAAATTACCATAAAAAACCATAAATGCTCGAAAGCACTGAACCATATAGTAATATTTTTCTGGATTGTAGAGTTTAACTTACTATGTGTTTAAAGGAATTGAATTAATACTTATTATATTTCTCGCTAATTTACATATTTTCACTCTTAATATTAAATGAATTATTCATTAATAAATAAATAATAAACTATTGAACAATAACCTTTAAAAACCTAAAAAACTAATTTATTAAGAAATAATAAAATCGCATCTCTATGACAACTAATTTATGTGCTAATAAATGTTAATAGAATTCCAAATTAAATGGAGCTGAGCTTGCTTTGCATTTTTGTATTATAAATTCTATACTAAGTTAATTATATTTACCAAACCAATACTTCTTTAATAGCATTAATCAACTTTTGACTGTGTAAACACTTACGGCTAATTTCGCAGCCGTAATAGTACGTTTCCACTACGTACTTAGTAAACTTCATTTACTGAGTAAATTGCATTAACCAGAAATTTATATAAATTTTCTAATTTATTTTCTTCTAACAATAGAACATTTAATATCATCTGCTTCCTTACTATGTGTTTAATGTAAACACAGAAAATCTCTAAAACAAGAACTTTTTGACACATAAAAGCTCTTTCTCATTTCTTTAGTAACTCTTGACAGTGTAAACGCAAAAAACTCAGTGTTACTATATGATTTACTAAGTAAGTAGTGGAAATGTAGTATAACTCAACTTTTTAAACTGACAAAACACAATTAATTTATAACGATTGTTAATTATATTGTGTATTTTCTTATAGAAACTAAATAGAAGAATGCGAGAAAAACTAAAAATGCTAGCAAACGATCCTTTTCAAATTGTTTATATGTGCTTCCCCCATACAATACTGAAATATTTTGTATATTCTTGGAAATTAAGTACATATGCATATGTACATATGCGACAAAAATAAAACACGACAAGAACCTATATCAACGTTCACGTAATAAATTCGAATACGTATACTATTGTGCATGCAACTTATTGAAAGAAGCAGAGATTGACAATGCTATTTTGTTGATTGTGAATTGTTTACAAATATACGATCAAAGACGGCGGAGTTTGGTAAATAGCGTTTAAGGTTAATATTTATTAAAAAAACATCAATTATTTTCTCTGATGGCGGACGCTTGGGACGATATCAAGAAAATCAAAACAAAACGGAACACTTTACGAGAAAAGCTCGAAAAAAGGAAGAAAGAACGCCATGGAATTCTTACTGCAACATCCTCGCTGACAGTAGCAAGCAATCAGCTGAAATACGATACAGAAGACTCGCCGGTTTTGAAAACCGAATTAGGTGAGCATACTATTTATATTTTACACTATCTAAATCAAAAATTTAATTTTAAACTTGAATTCAGTAGAAACAGATGAGGTCGAGAAAGGACTACTACAAATACTCTCCTCAAGCAATTTAATACTGCCAATAATATCAACGCAATTAATTGAGAAATTAACTAATTCTTTGGTGAATGTACCAGCAAAGGAAATGGTCAACTTTATACTTGCGAAGTTAGCTAATCAAGGCGTGATTAGCATTAAAAGTGTAACTATTGGTAAAGAGGTTGGTTGTGAGGTAATTGCAGTAGAAGCAAATAAAATACTCGACTTGTACAAAGAACACATAAATGATAATTATGTGATGAAGGATGAACTGAAACGTAAATGTAAGTATTTTCTTAGGTCATTAAACACGATATATTGTATCTTTATAAAATTGTTACAGTCCATTCAAATGATGATGAAAATGATGATTTGAATTCGCCAAAAATTTCGAAGAGTGAAAGCAATTTAGATGCTAGTGTAGGTTCACGTAAAGAAATGTCCATAGCTGATGCCTCAGATGATATAATGGCAAGTAAGCTTTTTATTTATGTTGTTATGTGATAAAATACGATTATGTTTTTAGTCTCTTCTATCTATGCCTTCAACTCGTGAGAAACAAAGTAAACAAGTAGGTGAAGAAATACTTGAATTGCTTACAAAACCTACTGCTAAAGAGCGCTCGGTAGCTGAAAAATTCAAGAGTCATGGTGGTGCACAAGTAATGGAGTTTTGTCCTCATGGCACTAAAGTTGAGTGTCTAAAGGCACAGCAAGCAACAGCTGAAATGGCAGCCAAAAAGAAAAGGGATAATGCAAGTGTAGAAATACCAGGTGATGACCAAATAAAAAGTGCAATTATAGACGCTTTAAGTACTAGCACAGATCCATCAATAAAAAAATCGGATAACGAATTAGAAAAGTGCCCTGATAAAAAGGATAAAGTTGATACTGATGTGGATATTAAAGCGGCTGATTCGGGTGCAGAAGATGGTGAAATTGTTTCGGAGAGTATTAAAACAACAGAAATAGAAACACAAGCTGAAACTGAAGAAAGTATTGACACTACAGATAAATGTACAAAATTACATTTTAAAAAAATCATACAATCTCATACTGATGAATCTTTAGGAGACTGTAGTTTTCTTAATACTTGCTTTCATATGGCAACTTGCAAGTACGTAACCTCTTATAAACAATGTATTTCATTAATTAAAATTATTTAAAATTACTACATAATATTGCTTTTAGATATGTACATTACGAAGTGGACACAATACCAAATATAAATACTAATAAACCAGTAGATGTTAAGACTAAATTATGCATTAAACGGAGTATAGATCCCAGTGTAACATTATATCCACCGCAATGGATACAATGTGATTTGAGGTTTGAACTTAGTTAACCATATACATTTAATTTATTGATTATTGTTTTGTTTTTAGATATTTAGATATGACAGTTTTAGGAAAGTTTGCAGTGGTAATGGCGGATCCTCCTTGGGATATACACATGGAGTTACCTTATGGTGTGTATTATACTTGTTGCAGCATTGCAATAATGTAGTTTTTAAATAATTATGCGAGATTCAAATGCATTCGATGGGCTCTCTTTAATGCAAGGAAATGTTAAAGTAAATTTTTCGAAAGTATTTATTTATTTATTTTTATAATGATTTATTTATAATGAGCTCATTTATATGAAGTCTCTTAATGAGGTAAATTATCCTTCAAACCTTCAATTAAAATTTGAACACAGTGAAAACATTTAACAGTTAATCACGTTTTTGTTTGAAAGCAACGTCATTTGATCAGATATCACTCTTACACTAAAAAAAGTTGGTGTACAATGAAGGAGTTTTTATATATAACAGCATGTCCTTAGTCTGATATATATAACATTTATAGAAAGTACAAAAATAACAAGTAACAAGTCGATGAAAACACTGATTAAAAGAATGGGTTCATCACCCACTGTAGTTTTCAGATCTGGCTAAATCTCCAGCCCTTTTGAATACAGCAAAAATATGCTTCATGTAAAAAATTTACCTTAAAAAAGCAAATAATTGTAATAATATTTATTATTTATTGAATTTTTATTCACAGAAGTCTTTAAAAAGTAAGAATAGCTATATGAATGTAGCTATAATATGAATGAATGAATGTATCAGTCTTGAATCTTAATTTTTCTTAGCTATACCGAATACTTGTTGAGTAACATGTTATATGCATTTATAGTTGAAATAATAAATAAACTGTAAAAGTATTATAAAAAATAAGTTTATTTATATGTTCTTTCAGGCACTATGTCAGATGATGAAATGCGTCAATTGGGTGTTCCAGCATTGCAAGATGATGGCCTTATTTTCTTATGGGTAACTGGCCGTGCTATGGAACTGGGTAGAGAGTGTCTTAAGTTATGGGGGTATTTAAAACAAATTATACATATAAATTCTTAATATCTTAAAACTAACTATTGTAGATATGAACGTGTTGATGAATTGATTTGGGTGAAAACGAATCAATTACAACGTATTATACGTACTGGTCGTACAGGTCATTGGCTTAATCATGGTAAAGAACATTGTCTTGTTGGAATGAAAGGTAATCCGAAAAATCTTAATCGTGGCCTAGATTGTGATGTTATAGTAGCTGAAGTACGTGCTACATCACATAAACCTGATGAAATTTATGGTATAATCGAGCGTCTGAGTCCTGGTACAAGAAAAATTGAATTATTTGGTCGACCACATAATGTACAGCCTAATTGGATAACTTTAGGCAATCAACTTGATGGTATTCGATTAGTTGACCCTGAATTAATAACACAATTTCAAAAAAGGTATCCCGATGGTAACTGTATGTCACCAGCTGCGGCAGCGGGTGCGGCAGTTGCTGTTGTGAAAAAATAGTTTATAGCTTTTAACATTAATTATTTTTTTAATTTACAATTGTCAATTAGCAAACCATACTTTTGGGCAAACATACTCATTATTAGATTGCAATAATTAATATTTATATAAAGCATAATAAAACTACATAAGAACGTAGTGCACCAAAAAGGTGCAATTATTAATAGTAACATAGAATGCATAGTGCATGTCCAATTTTTTCGAATTCGAAAATTGAATGGACACATTTATTCATCCGCTTATATATAACACGCAAAGGGTTATTCACAAGTTGTTTATAGCTTACATAAATCTATAAAGGTGGTTCAATTTAAATGAACCAATATTCTGTATTTGCTATAGTTCAGTTTATCAATTTATATTCTTTCTTTAATATACATGACAATCAATCATATTTCAACGATATTTATTACATAAAAACAAACAATGCTTATGCCGAAATTATGAAATTAAGAAGTGTTAAGAAGTTATTTAGTTACATATCCCATGTACCTTAATTAAAAAATGGAAATTCCTTTCACACTTTATAAAGCCTTATTATTATGTCTTATTTCGGTGATCATCTGCTAACAACAGTGCCGGGTGTTCTGTAAGAAAATTATTATGATTACCATATGAAATGTAATGACAAGGATATACTAACATATAATATAACTTCTTCTTCTTATTGGGCACCACAGTCTACAGACACTACAGTTCTTATTTGCCCTCCTTATTTTTTAAAGAAGGTTGCGTAGCGTGTGTTTTCTTTCCTATGCGAGGCTGCTGACCTTGCGATCAACTACCAACCTGGAGGACCAGATCCCCTGCACATCTGGGAATAAAATAGGTGTTTAGTAGCTAGAGCGTTTTCTCTCTGCTAGGTGTTTTACTGTTATAACGCTTGTGTTCGGTCGCCAGAGCCTTGTATGTGAGAATAGGATGCACTACGTATAGGTGAGGTTGGTTACTGAGAAGGCTAGGCTGCATATTCGCATCACTTCTCCATTGAGACACACACTTCTGCCTCTTGAAGCCCATACTATAATATATATTCTATAATAATATAAGTATAATATATACAATATATATGCTATAATAACATTAGTATAATATATATGTTATAATAATGTTAGTATAAGATATATAATATATATACTATAATAATATTAGTATAATATATATAATATAATCTAAAAACTATAATATATATATCCTTGTTCTTCTTCTTTTCCTGGTGAAACGCGAGTTAGTGTCTAAAGAACTTTTACTCCATGTGCTGTTTATGACCACTTGGATGATCCACTGTAATAAGAGTTCCGTTGAATTCTAATAATCAGATATTCAGATGACTTTATAGAACTATAGTTTAAGCTCAGATAGAATATACATTGCATTTGATTTTTCAAGTGCAATTGTGAATATATAAATGTATATACTATAATTGCATTTACAATTATCGAACGACATTAGCATATTTTTGTATGGATTTTGTATGAATATAGAACAAATGACAAACATTAACCACACGGCTTTGAAAATCGTGATATTTATGACACTGCCAAACTTACGAAATGCGTGAAACAAGTCCCTAACATCTCTTTTTTTTAAAATTTTCTAAAAATAAAATAGTATAATGTTCCAATTAATAAATATGTAATCTATACTAGTGAATAACCCTTTGAAATGCATTAATATGTGTGTTACTTCTATATATGTAGTATTATATATTATAAATGTATAATTAAGTCTATATAAACATATATAGTATCAAATAATATAATTTATTTTTGTATAATAACGTACTACGAGCGTTTTAAATATTTCGAAATTTCTAGAATTTTATACTATTAATTTGTCTTATAGTATACGCATATGTATTTATATAATAAATAGTTAATAATGTTTTTTTTTACTTATTGATTAAATATTAAAATAAGTTCGACTCGGATTTTATTGTAAAATATGAACAAAAGCATCTATAGGTCTTTTAAGCGTTATATTAATAGATTTTGAAATAATGTTAATGACGATTAAAAGTAATAAATGTGAAAAAAATTAATTTCTTTAATTGTTTAATAATCTTTATTAAAATTTGCTCACAACAATGAAAATGTTCTAAATAAAAATTTAGTCATAATTTAGATTAAAAATGATGACAATGTTGACTTAAGAACGAATTATATTGAATGCCCTCAAGGTTTTAAAAACACAAAATCCAAATAGTGTAATAACAGCAACACTGGCTCCAGCTTTAAACCAAATAGTTTTTTTCCAAGATTTTATTTGTGCCAAATGGCTGAAATTAAACAAAAAAATTAATAAGTATAGTATATAGTTGTTAAAAAAAAAAATAAATGTACCCAGTAAACTCAGATAAACAGAAATATTGTCTAAAAAAAACTGAATATGCAAATATATTCTGAAATGCCTAAGGTTTAGACTAGACGAAAGATTCTGTCATTAAATAATATAGTTCTCTAGAGCTATCGTTCTCTAGCCCAAGTGACAGTTCAAAATATTTCTAATCTGTGTGATAAACTAAAGAGATATAGAAAATGTTTATAGAAAGTAAAGTAAAGCTAGCTAGTAAAGTAAAGAAAGATGCTACTATATTATATAATTCTTCCGGAATAAATAGGTTTTTTAGGGATCTAAATAGCCCTGAGCTCATTAGAACAATTTCTACTATTTCGTAGAAATGTTACTTATAACAATACACCAATCCAAATTGTCTCGGTGTCTTTTAGTTAAAAGATAACTCACTAAACAGACTTTGTCGGTACCTTTCAGCTGAGAGATATCTCTATATAACAAATCATAATTACTTCATTCTATAATAATGAGAAAGTGACACAAAAATCGGTTCCTCTGAATGATTATAAGTTGTAAATAGTGACAATACAAGTATTCTACCTATTCTACATTTTTAGGTTTGGTTAGATTGGAATGGTGGCTTTGTGCATCAAAGTCCAGTTCAGTTCACGTAATGACCTGTTGTAATAAAGCGGAATAGCATTGTTCATATGCAGACCAGAATGAACCCCAAAAGTACCGCAGTGGTCAGCGTACAGACAACCTTAAAAGGAACGACTCTCCAATTCAAGTGAAAGTAAACTAACCTGAGAAGTCTTTAAAATCAGCTAAGACCTTAATTGTGCAGTATGACAGCTCTGTTAAGTCAGTAAGAAATTAGCCCCAAAAAATAGACATTGGCAAAGAAATTAAAACACTGTAACATAAAATTTACACTAACTACATTTTACTACACAAATAATACCAAACAACACAAATATAATAAAAACAAAATAAACAACAAGAAAACAAACAACAATAGAAAGAAACTGGTAAACAACGAACCGTTGAAATCACAAGAACAAAGATACTGCTTGCTTCGCACATCACAAGTATAAAAGGCAAAGCAAACGGAGTAGACGGGGATTCAGCAAGACAGCGAGCTAAGAACAGGTCGCTCTATATTACATGTGCTGAAACACCAAGAATCGAAATTTACATCTCGATTTCTATTTTGTTTTTTTATTTTTTTTTTATTTTTTAATAGAAATACACATTTCTATTAAAAATCATAATTAATAACGAAATTAACATTTCGTTAATAGTAATAGAAATATAAATTTCTATTACTCTATTGTTCATAACGAAATCAAATTTTCGTTAGTAAATTACGCGGTAAGGTGATAATACCACATGAGTATTAGCACCCATACCAAATCCATTGTATGAAGAAGAAATTCACATTTCTTCAAACCTTTTGTCAGGGGCGTCGAAATTAACATTTCTACGCCAAAATCCATTGTATAGAGAAGAAATTCACATTTCTTCAAACCTTTTGTCAGGGGCGCTGAAATTAACATTTCTACGCCAAATCCATTGTATGAAGAAGAAATTCACATTTCTTCAAACCTTTTGTCAGGGGCGTCGAAATTAACATTTCTACGCCAAAATCCATTGTATAGAGAAGAAATTCCCATTTCTTCAAACCTTTTGTCAGGGGCGCTGAAATTAACATTTCTACGCCAAATCCATTGTATGAAGAAGAAATTCACATTTCTTCAAACCTTTTGTCAGGGGCGTCGAAATTAACATTTCTACGCCAAAATCCATTGTATAGAGAAGAAATTCACATTTCTTCAAACCTTTTGTCAGGGGCGCTGAAATTAACATTTCTACGCCAAATCCATTGTATAAAGAAGAAATTCACATTTCTTCAAACCTTTTGTCAGGGGCGTCGAAATTAACATTTCTACGTCAAATCCATTGTATAGAGAAGAAATTCACATTTCTTCAAACCATATCACCGTACCAACGTCACCATCCACCGTATTCCACTGTTCCTATCAAATAAATTTATTGTAGGACTGAACCTTGAATCCGGCGAGTAAAACCCCGGCCAGAAAGGTTCGTTACAATTGGCGCCCGAGCAGGGACAGTGGGAACAGAACTGACCAACATCTTCAGTTGAGTATGGAAGACAAACCAACGGTGGTACCATCAGGAATCAAGGAAGTGACAGGACAAGCAGGCCGTAAAACAGCAGTCGCTTCGACAAGCGCAAAACGATTTACATCAGGAGGTAAATCTTGGATTTACTTCGCTAAAAAGGAGGAACTGGTGAGTTACGCAGACGAATTCGGATTAGATCCAAGTGGTTCACTGGAGGAACTTCGGAAAAAACTTTCAACGTTCATGGACTCAGAGGCAGCTGAGAAAGATACCGCCAGGCTACAGGAACTCGCGAAACTACATATCAGAAGCTCATCACCGGGAGTCATTGAAAATAGACGTCCTTCGTTAACTAAGGGAGGAAGTTTAACCATGGCCGAATATCCTGTAATCATCAACCAAGTCAGAAAATGGGAATGCCACTACTCAGGGGAACACGAAATACTACCATTTATAGAACGGATCGAGGGACTGGCAGATATGTACGGAATACATCGGGACTTATTACCGAAGCTAATGCCTGAAGTTCTAAAAGACAAGGCACTGATCTGGTTCAGGAATAACAACAAGCGATGGACCGAGTGGCCATCATTCAAAGCAGATATTTTAGCATTCTTCTTGCCCCCAAGATACTTTGAACAATTAGAGGACAAAATACGAGCCCGCCTGCAACAACCCAGGGAACTGTTCAGAGATTATGTATTGGCACTGCAGAACATCATGCAATATTCAACATACAGTGAAGAGATAAAATTAGAGAGGATCTACCGGAACAGTCGTACCGAGTATCAATGGTATATCCGTAGGAAAGACTTCCAGTCATT